AGTTTCTAGCATCCAGTGTTTGTGATTTCAGCCGAAAGCCGTATGTTACAACGTACCCCTATAGGCAGGGCTTAGTCACTACACTACAGTCACCGGTAAGCTGATGCAAGTACAGTTACTTTAATAATTAGAGCTTTATGTTGTTTGAACGAGTTTTCCATCCTGTATAATGAATATGGTCAGTGTACAGATGAAGTTTTGAGTTGAAATATATTTTACATCTGTAGTACATTTTTGATGAATCTGAATAAAAAGATTTGAATTCATATCTGGGGATGTATGTTACATTACAGTGTGTTAAAACTAGCGCCGACATGTGGAGGCTGTGTTTCAGTCCGGCTGGTTCCCACTGTGGGGTTTTTTATTTGCTTCAAAATGGTGTAGTGCGCTGTTAGAAATAAAGGTTCTGTTCAGGTACATTTTTCATTCTTCAAGGTACAAACAGTGTAAATGTTCCCTCAAAGGTACAACAGTGGTTTTAAGGTCTGATTGTGAACCTTAAATAAGTTTTTCCAGGTGAAAAGTTCGTATTTGTACCTTTTCATAACCGAATGTTTTAAAACAGAACAGTAAAATAAAAGCCTGGAGACGAGACGGGGTGTGTGGAGTCAGTACAGCTTAGAACATATCATTTCAGTGGATTATGGTTCAGTTATGTTCCCTGACTGAAGGTACTGACACCCCAGTGACAAGAGGGGAACTGCCCCAGTGACAGTTTACTACCTTTATTTCTGAGGGTGCAGTCGTCACAGCTAAAGAGCAGGTGATAACAATGTAGGTTTGAATACAGTAATTGAAACCCACTTATGATGAAAGGAAGTTAGTTTCATGGTATGAAAATTCAGAAAAGTCTGATTTCTGTGAAAATTTGCAAATGACTGCTGTGAAGACCAAAAAGCATATTCTGTTTGAACCTGTTTAACTACGTAAAATATTATATATATTTATCCTGCATTATGTTGTGCACCAGTAAAGGTCACCTTTTCCACAGAGATGAATCAGCCGACTGAGGGGAAAATCAGGCTCTGAAACTCGGCTTGTAGCGAGTCATTTTAGCTCGTGTCTCTCAGCACTGCTGGTTGGTCTTTCAGCTGATTTTTCATCCTTTGCCTTCACTTGCAAAGGTAATTAACTCCTGTTTCGGCCATAAAGACCATAAATGAGCAGGTATTGAATGGGACGTTTCACCGGATACAGGTTGCAGTGCGTTTTGTTGTGTACTGGCTGTGTGTTTCTGCCCTCTGACCAGTTCAGGTCAGCGCATGATGGCTGCATCTTGCCTCCTATTGTAGTGGATGGGGCACAGTGTCCCACACCTGTGGCTTTGTGCCGTGTTCCTGACGTAGATGCTCTTCAGAGTGATGAGAGGGGAAAAAAACCAAAACGACATTGTGCCTTTTTAAACACACTGTTTAACAACTGCTGTGTGAGCAAGTCTGCCCCTCTTTTCGTCCCTTCAGAGGTTGATCCAAAGGTCACGTCGCCCATTGTGGAAGCTTCTTATGATAGAAAAACACAAGGCACATGGGTTCTTTATCTGCCTGGGGGATGGGGAGCATGCCGCTTTCAGATTTTACAAAGGAGTTGCCTGACGTTACTCGTTTAGTCATTTTAGGCATTGAAAAACAGGATTGTTTTCAAAGGTGGTGTCTTTGATGCGGTGCTTTACCTGACAGGTGACGTTTCTGATGGCTGCTTCACTTTTTTCCCCCTCTTTTAAGCACCCAATCAAATTGCAGTGACACGTAAGCACACGGTTTCTCCGTATTTGGATCACATTGTGGTTTGCCGGGTTGATCTGTGGGTTCGAGCTCTATCTTTAGGGCTGCGCTCTGTCTCGCTGCGCACACCAGCGTAACCAGATAGACTCGTCTCTCCGAGGTGGTTTACCATCGACACACTGACACCCATCATAATCGTGCCTCCTGCTCCTGACTGACAGCTCATGCGCGGCTGCAGTGTTAAATGGAGCACCAGCCTTATTCGGGGGAATAAGCTGAAACCGGCTGTGTGCTTCAGGCATCATCCTCCCCAACCCCCCATCCTCCCGTCCCAACTCTCTCTGCCAATCCATAGCACTCGCATGAGGTTTCCCTGGTAACCAGGCTGGCATTTCTCGTTCTGCAGGACAGTTTGATTGATAATCGAACGACTGTCCACAATAATTCACCCATCCCATCTGTGGGCAGTCTGTAATTTCATTGATTTGGAAATCTCATATCTTGTTTCTCACTGAGGTGACAAAAATCATCCTCCCCCAAGGTTTTCTTTCATTAAAGAATTGCCATTTATTTTTGCTTAAAACTTCCTTTTGAAGCTGTTGGCTGGAACCAGGACTGTTTGCTGAATCTCTGTGCACAGCGTGACACACATATCTGGAGATTTTTATGAGTGCTTAGTTATTAACTGTAGTCCTTTTCTTTCTGACCAGGGACAGTAATTTGTAGCTGCAACTGACACTTTAGCTCTTTTAGTTTGACACGTATTCATTAAACTAAACTGTAATGTTAATTCAGGTTTATTTAGAGTTAATTTCAGCCAATTATTTATTTGTTTTATTTAAATTTGTGCCCCACAATTTTGTCCTAGCAAATTCCCATCTGCTTGTTTTTTCCAATTGTTATGCCAAAATGCCATTGTTATGTTGCTTTTAAGTCAGCTAATGGACACCTGCGTTGACCAGCGTCACACTGGCTGGGTTTACATGCAAAGATTTTTGCCAATCCTATTGAATTCATTCCTATTATAGATCAGGACTGAGGTGTTTATATCTCACTCTACTCAACACTCTGATGTCTCTGTTTACATGCTCACTGCAAGTAATCTAATCCAAAATATACCACTTAGTGTAGATGTTACCATGACAGCGAGTATCACGTGAGTCCAGTCAGAGTGAGATGAGCAGCAGTGAGCAGTGCTTGTGTATCTAATTACTTTAAAATGATGTCAGACTCAGGAAAACGTCCTTCACATGTCCTTATTAAAGAAGGCCGAGAGGAAGACGTCGTGTTCTGAGACACATAAGCTGGACGTCCGTCCCACCGCCGTCTTTTAAAGATCAGAGCATGAACTTCGTCTCCTCTGCAGACCAGTTTCTGCTCCGCCATGTTGAACGGTATAAACTTTCACTATGACGCGACGAACATGATCAGAACGGACTTAAACTTTCCGATAGGGAATGTAATCAGATACAGGCGTTTACACGGATATTATTCTTCTATTTAACAGATTATTTACAGGATTACCCACCTCGTTCAATCGGATAGAAACTATGTTCCCAAAAGCCTCAATCGGACTAGACTATTCTGATTGAGTTGTATAGAGGGACGTATTTTTATTCCAATTATTCCGTGATGGAGGGAGTGGGAGGACCGTCCTACCCACCCAGAGAGAGCGAGGACTGTTATGATTTGGGTTTAGCACTTTCGCTTTAAGAAAAGCACATAAAAACAGAACTTGTTGTTGCTGTTGTTGCTGCTGATGCTTCTTCTTCTACTAATAATAATAATCTGACCGGCTTTCTGACCATGGACAGCTGTGGCATCGCCGGGAATCACACTTCCAAGCTAATGAAACTGTTAGATAAGTGCATAACTAAATGGTTATTTGTTGATTTACTGAGATGTTACTGGTGTGACTAGTCTTTCTGCTGTTTTCTGACCTGTTATCGTGGTCACGACTATTTCTGACCACTGCTTTGAATACAGAGCTCTAAAATCTCGCATTAGTAGCTTTAGCTGTGTTGGCTTGCTAAATGAATGGTGGATAATGCAAGTCAGTCTGAATCTAAAATCTTTTTCCTTTTCTGAGTGAAACATGTTATCAGGGAGGGTCTCTGAGCAAGCTGAGTGTTTTCTCTCCATGATAGGAGGGGGAGGTAAAGCATATTATTGGTCTCCACCCGCTGGTGCACGATGATGTCATAAAAAATCAGAAGACGTTTTAGAAGCGCACAAACGCCATTATATTTTAGCCTTTTCAACTCCTTGGGACCACCGGTGGTTCCAAAACGCACTTCGTCATATTCTTCATAATTTTCATATTTCATAAGCTACATTCTAAAGGTGGGGGTCGTATGAGGCTGTAACTGTCTTCTTTCCGGTCAAATAGATGGGTGATGTAATTTTAATCCCTTATAATAGAAGAAGCTGAAACTGAAAGTTTTTTTTCTACTGAAAGTCGACCCATTTTTCCACAAATCTGAGCTATAAACTATAAACAGATGGCGTCTCTTCAGTGATCTGATCTGTAAAAATTATTTTTATAAAATAATACAAAGAGCGTCTAAGATTTTTGGCTTTCAGCAGTAAATTGTAAGCATATAGCAATATGTGTATAATCATAAAACACCGTCTGTTAATTTGAGGGGAACTTTTTACAAAAAATAAATAAATAAATAAAACAAAAATATACATTTATTTCATGCAGTTACTGAATAATTTGCCTTACTATTTGGTCATGTAAATTCAGATGGACAAACCAAAATACACCCTGGGCAGTAAGAGGTTAAAGTGAACAGTAGAATCATTTTATCTTTCATTTCATCTTAGTATGAACAAGGGCCAGTACCGTCAAGGTTAATTAGGTACATTTAGATTTCAGGGTGATTTTAATATCAGCTAACATGGTAGTTAATTATTTAAGTTATGAAAACATGACTGTCACAATTCATGTTTAGCTTTATGTAATTCAGGACAGTAATATCTCCTCAGACATTAAACGATAATGAGCTCTCGAATTAATAACTTTATAATCATGTCTTTCAACTCTTGTCCTCCTTTTGCGTCTGAAAAGGGGATGTGAGAACAGCGCAGCTTGACTGAGGCCTAAACTGAGGCCGTTTCCCATCCAGGAAAACTGAGAGAACGTTTCCTCGTTTTGCATTTTCAACATCGGTTGGCAAAACCAGGAAACAAACGTGCCGCTGGTGTTAATCACACAATGAGCGCTTTGGGAACGATGCCCTGAAGTGTGTGTTTCTTTCCTCTGTTGGTTAACAGAAGCGGAGCTGGAGGTAGATGAGGAAGACTTCCCCCAGCCGCTGGACCTGAGCCCCAGAGACGAGCCGGCGCTTTCTCCACTCTTCCAGCGCTCCGTGTCTGAAGACTCGGCCGGATCATCAGCCTCAACCACTGGGAATGCCAAAACCAGGTTAGTGAGCGGGGGGTGGGGTGTACAAGCAGGGCCCTAATGAGCTGAGTCACAGCGCTGTGTGCGCAGGCGCGCAGGGTTTTATTGCAGGGAAAGGTGAGGGTTCTTGCGAATGAAGGAGACTCGCAGCATGACTGAGAACGTGTTTGCGCTGCTGAGAGGGGAAAAAAGGCTTACATACCGGAAGGAGGGCATATGAGTCCTCAGGTTATACGTGTGCATGCTGTGCTTTTCTTTTTTCTTTCTTTTTTACTTTTTTTTTAATCAAAACATTTTCTTTTGAGGATCCCAAGATAATTAAACATACAATAAAAGGGCTGCGCAGACAGTGAAATATAAACATGTCTTTATTATTATTATTATTATTATTATTATTTTATACAGCAATGATGCTGTAAAATATTTAATTTAAACTATTCACTATTGGTCCATTATGCACAGACAGAAGGTGTAGCATTATAAAAAATGGATGTAATAGATATTGAAAGTGTAGATACTGTGTGTGTGTGTGTGTGTGTGTGTGTGTGTGTGTGTGTGTGTTTTTTGTGTATCATAACTAATATAGAGACCACCCTTCATTTAATTTCAAGTCTAAATGGCCGTTAAGTTATTTCATTTTCAGGCGATAGTTCTGAGGATATTCGATGTATGGCTACATTTACATCAGCGCAGGCCGAAGTGGCACAAATCAGATTTTTTTTTTGCGTTAATGTGACGTAGATCTGGTGTTTTCAGAGCAGTGTGGACACAAAAATCTGATCTTTTCGAATCAGATCTGAGCCACTTTCATATGTGGTCCTAGATCGGCCCCCTTCACACACACATGCACCATCATCCAGCATTAAAGTGGCTGCAGTGTTGGACCTGCAGTTAGAGCCAGTGAATGTTTTGCTCTAATAATGAAGAGCTGAGGGTTGTTTAGAGCTGGTTATCGTCACCGTGAAGGCTTGTTCTGCTGTTTAGTTTGTTGGCTGTTCATGGCGCATGTGATTGATTCGCAATTCACCAGACATTACTGATAAGGAGGTTCGCATGCAGGCCGTTTTAGGATGCAGGTTCGTTTACATTAATGACAGGTTTGAGTCACTTACCTACATGAATGTGAACCATCGTGTTGTAGCGATCAAATCCGAGCAATAAATCGAAAATGAGCAATGAGGCTTGTAATGTCGGCGTAGCCTGAGATAATCCACTTGCATAAGGATAGGAAAGTCAGATTAAAATAAGTTGGTTTAAAGGATTCAGAGAAAGTGGGACCCCTAACCACCATGCAAGACCTGGTAGACACCAAAACTGCGCCCATCAGATAAACAGCACTTAAAGCTTTCATCTCTGAGAGAGAGGAGAAAATCAAGCTGCTTCAGATCTGAAAACATCCACAGGTGTTTCTGTCCATCCTTCCACTGTGAGAAGACGACTCAGCGCTGTGGGTCTGAAAGGATGTGTAGCTGTTCAAGAAGAACCTCACTGAGAAAAGGAGACGGACACATCAAACAAAGAAGCTGAACGATGGACTGACCACCCCAGAGTCCAGACCTCAACACCACTGAACGTGTTTGATTACTTCAGAAAATGATCAACCAACTTCTAAGACTGAACTCCTCCTGAAAAGAATGGAAGCTGGAATAAAGGCAAAGCGTGGACACACTGAATACAAAAAAATGCTAATTCTGTTTAGTTGTTGAGGTGACGATGAAAAAACTGGGAGAGAAAAAGACTTCAAAACTGGAAAATTATTAAAAGATCCAGAGAAAATGGGACCCCTAACAACCATGCAAGACCGGGTAGACCACCTACATTGTCCCAGCCAGATAAACAGCACTCAAAGCTTTGGTGTGGAAAAATATCCCTGAAGATTTCTCTGAAAAACTGAAAGCGAGTCTCCCGGAATGAACGGAAGCTGTAATCAAAGGCAAAGCGTGGACGCAAAACACACGGAACACACGGAATACAGAAAAATGCTAATTATATTTAGTTGTTGAGGCTTCTGTGTAATTTCCTGTTAAGTATATGTTTTCTTTTTTTTTTCTTGATGCTGCAAAACGAATAACTTGTAATTAATGGCTGTTTTGACTGAAAATGGTCTCTGACTTTGCACAGCACTGTAAATATAGTATGCAGAGATCACTGCATGCTTACATGCTCTGCCTGTGTGTGTGTGCTGTAGTGTGCTTTGCAGGGCTGGGAATGAGAGTATGTTTGTCAGGGGGAGGGAGGGGAAGCAGGGGATTGAGAGGAGCTGTAATTGAGCAGAGGGATGCTGGGAAGAGGAGAGCGAGGCAGAGGCCTGGCAGACTGCTGCCTCGCGGCCTGCTGCTGTAATTAGTGCAGAGAGGGAGGGGGTGGAGGAAGAGAGGAAAAAAAAACGTGCTCTCTTTCTACTCCCAATTAGCGCTGATTGTCCTCTCTCTCAGTGTGGTGCGCGGAGCAACATGTGGTGGGTGCGGGGTAGGGGGAGAGGAGAGACCCCTCCTTCGTCTATCCACGTGTGTATAGGGCACACCTCCCCACCCCCACAGCTGAATGGCTGAGTACAACAGGTTGCTTGCTTTTGTGGTTCTGACTCTGCAGGATAGGCTGATATCTATTCAGAGTACATTGGATTGGATCTAAAAACAGTGGTAGCCAAACTGAAGTCTGAGTTATTGTTCAGTCTGATTTTATAGGTAACGGTATTTTATAGAGTGTCGGAAACCAAGTAATCACGTCTCTTAGACGTTATTGAACATCTTGACGCGGCTTGAGGTACATATGTGATTTAGACATGCAGTTTGCACGATGCTGATTGGTTGCTGTAGGCTTTTATTACATAGCTCCATTGGCTGTGATTGGTAGGGAAGCACCAATCATAAAGTTTTATGAACAGTTGAGTTTATTAGTGATTGTGCTTTGCTTTGCCACACTATTGTTATCCACAAAGCAATGCACAACACTGTTGTTATCTGGTTTATTATTATTATTTTTATTTATTATTTTTATTCTTATTGTTCTGCTGGATTTTTGTTGGCTAACTCGTTCCGCTGTTTTCGGGATATCAACAGCATTCCCACTCCGAAATGTTTTGCTCTGAATGGGAATAGTGTGCTTGTATACAGCTTTTTGATCCGATGTGTGGTTTTCGTACAATCTTGGTTAAATTCCGAATTTTTTTTCCCATAGAAATGAATGGGATAAAAAAATTGTATGTCTATCTACTGGAGTTCTGCTCAACCGAAATACTCAGTTTTGCATATACTATCTCAGGGCAGGCCACCTGAGCACAAACTCAGTGTTGTTCTGACCCGCACTCATCTATTTGTCTTTTTTTTCGTCCCTCGTTTTTTCCATAGACTCCGATTCATTTTCAATCCCACACAAACTCTATTATTTCTTTGATCGACAGCCACCGAACTGCATGTTCTCACTCAGGTTAGGTCCCCGAGCACGACTTCAATATTGTTCTGACCCACACTCATCTGTTTGCCATCTTTTACATCCCTTGTTTTTCCCATAGACTCCCATTCATTTTCAATCCCACACAAACTCCGTTATTTCTTTTAGACAGCCACCGAACTGCATGTACTCACTCAGAGCAAGTCCCTAAGATCTAATCCACAGCCATACTGACCAGCACTCCTCTATGTGTTGTTTTTTCATCCCTCATTCCTCCCATAATCTCCCATTCATTTTCACTACAACTAGCAACAATTGGCAACCCCCTAACAACCACTCAGTTCACACCCCTCATGCCATAGCAACTGCCTAGAAACACCTTAGCAACCGCCTAGCAGCAAGCTTCAGCTGCGCAATCACTCTGCATTTCCTACAGAAAAAGCACTTTTCTGGTTTATTTATTATTATTTTTACAGCCAAACTGTAACTTTATTTTTTTAAACAGAATCTCGTGCTGTTTGGACTAAACGAACACAAACACACCATCACAATTTCAACACTCTGTTAGCCAAGCTTGCGATATAAATAAGGTTATTTGCTCTTTTAATGGGTAAAAGTCAGTTGCCTGTTTAAATAACATGAACTAAATAAAGTGCTACACTGAAAGTAAGAGGCAGCTCTGTTTAGCGCAGTGAGTCATGTGTAATTATGGGACATTTGATGCAGCAGCAGTATTCAAATACAGTGTGAGAGCACTTACCTGCCTCGCATCATTTACCTCACAATATTACAGCACTGATCAGTCAGAATCAAAATATATTAAACTTGCAGAGTGCTGAATGTTTGCTTGGAGCAAAAATCTGCCAGTTCTAATCTAGACGTGCTTTCCTGGTAGGACAGGGGTTAATCAGTGATTATCGATAATGACCGTGAAGCTGAAAAGTGGAATTTAGCATTTTTCTTTTTTATGCAAGTGCTCTGCGCTCCAATCCGTGATCTGAAACTCCAGTCCTGGTTTTGCATGCACAACAGTGAGCTGTATGATGTTGGTTCATTGTCACACGAGGGAAATGCCATCCTAAACAGTAGATTTCGTTATTAAGTTTAGGTTTATTTTAGCTGTCACAGGGATTTTGCTCACCAAGTCCGATGAAAATGCGCTTAAAACTTGACTTGAAGTCTGATGTGCTTTTGAAAAACATGCAATGCAGGACAACTGGATTTGTTGAGTGGTAATGGCGGCGAAGGTGGAATTGTTTGTCTGTACGAGTGAAAAGACACAGAGACCGACCCGTTTTGGTTTAAAAAAAAAAAACTCACACTTGTCTGAGGGGTATAAAGAGGCTTTATGGCTGAAATGTTGTCGCTGCAGTTGGGATAAAACCTTGTATCTCCTTTTCGTTTTGTTATTTTTCATTTTTTGACCTAGTTTGAAAAAGGCAGTTGTCCTTTATGATGTGTCAAAGTTTCATGATGAACGGCCCAACAGAACCTCTCCAGAATTACTTGGAAAAACATATTTCTCCATTGACTCCCATTAAAAGTTAAGAGCGTTTTTCCTTGTCCTTTAAAGTTACCTTTTTAGAGATACGAGGTCAGCTTGTTGTTTGCCAGTCTTTTATTCCAGT